TACACACGTAAAAACGCACGAGTTGTAACAAGTCTGCAAACAAGCTGTCACAAGTCTGTTCACAAGCTGTCAACAAGTTGTGTTCGCATTGCTTATTCCCAGTTTGTTGTAACAAGTTTGAAACAAGCTGATAATTATAACAACTTGTGACAAGCTTGATGGCATTATCAGTCTTGTTACAAGACTGTGCTAACAAGTTTGTTACAGCCATGATGTAACAAGGATGTTACAAGGTTGTCAACACAAGGTTGTAACAATCTTGTTATATCAAGCATGTAACGGACTTGTCAGAACAACCTTGCAACAAGTCTGATAATTTCGACAAGGTTGTTACAAGTTGTCAACAAGTTGTTCCAAACCTGTTGACAACTTGTGACAAGCAGTGCGAATACATCTTGTTGACGGCTTGTTGGCAGACTTGTTACAAGATGTGAGATTTTTACGTGTGTAACTTGTAATATACATGTCAAGAGAGTTATTACGTACACATGTAAAAAAACACAAGTTGTTACAGGTCTGCAAACAAGTTGTTACAAATCTGTTCACAAGCTGTTGACAAGTTGTGTTCGCACTGCTTGTTCCCAGTTGTTGGAACACATTTGGAACAAGCTGTTAACAACTTGTAACAAGCTTGATGGCATTATCAGACTTGTTACAAGGTTGTTCCAACATGTCTGATACAGTCATGATATAAGAAGAATGGTACAAGGTTGACGACACAAGGTTGTAACAATATTGTTATATCACGTCTGTATCGGACTTGTTGGAACAACCTTGCAACAAATCTGATAATATCAACAAAGTTGTTAACAGCTTGTTCCAAGCATGTTGACAACTTGGGACAAGCAGTGCGAACACAATTTGTTGACGGCTTGTTGCTACAAGATGCGAGACTTTTCCGTGCATAGGATAGGCTGTAGCGCCAAGCTGTCGATGATAAAAACATGGCTCCGACTATGGCCAAGACAATGTGCTTTCCGGAAGAGAGTATTTTTCTTTTGAGATGTCTGTGATGAAAGTTTTTGATGACATCGCAGAAAAACACAGTCTTCGCCGCTGCCACCAAATCTCAAGCCGGTATGCAACAAAATCGCATTTGGACTCAAGCATACTTTGATAAAAGAAAAAAAAACTTTGATACTGCTAACCAGCTTTTAATCTAAGCATGGAAAATATATTAAACGATAAAACATTAAAATATTTACCTGAGCAGACCAAAGCAGGGGTGTCAGCAAACGCGAACAACACCAGCGACGCAATGTACGTTAATAATCCAAAATAAATAATATGCCTTATTTTAAAACACTTCGAAAGAAATTTCACACCAATTACAGCTCCAATACCAAGACAGAAAAAACGTTCAGAACAAAACAGACCTATGTCCAATGGTGACCAACATAGTGGCTTATCAAGAAGAAAGAGAATCGTCACTGCATACGAACCAAAGTAACTGACATGCAGAAAAAAGTTCAGAGCGATTAACCAACGTAGATTGTTATTTTTGCCTGGTTGTTTTCGAACCACATTTAAAATTGCATTAAAGTGTTTCCTGTCAAAAAATTTGACCGAGATATCTCTGTTTTCTTTGGGTAATGTTTCAGGCATTAGGAATATGGCGTAAAGAGTGGCACTGACCATGCAACCGCACACGACCCAATAAGGCGCTTTGTATCCACCGTTTGATTCAATAATCTTTCCACTGAATGCTTGACCGATAGTTCCACCGATAAAGATAAAAAATTCCAAAATACCTAGACGGAAGAATACGACTATGAGAATCATTTGTGTAAAGATTTCAAGAAAAGGCAAGGATCAAGAACACAAAATTTGCTCCATTTGAAAAGAAAATTTTAGCTATCCGTAAAATAATTTACACTCATAATAATATGAGTATGTACGACCTCCACATCTTTTTAACTATGAGGGACAGGTCTCGGTATGGGAATGGCGAAATCTGAACTTGCTCCATGGTCAATAGAAGAAGGTTAGGACCCTCGATGCAGGCATACTGGATCTTATTATCTATGTTTTTGTCTTGTTTTAGGCAAAAAATGGTCGGTTCATCGTCACGTGTGTATTGTATTTTCGTCAGAGCAACCAATAGCTATGTTCTCATTTAACCATTGTGTGATAGCACAACTGGGTAATTAAACCAATTACACACTGATATTGGTTGGTTGGGCGAAAAAACAATACACATGTGACGACGAACCGGCCATTTTTTGCATAAACCAAGACAAAAACTATGTTTTTGTAAACTAAGACAAAAACTATGTTATAATAAGGTCTAGTATGTCTGCATCGAGGTTCCTGACCTTCTTCTATTGATTATGCTTGCTCTATACGTCTGCTTCTCAAGGGAATGTTATTTGGAGGTAATAACGGGGACCGCAAAAATGCGGGCTTGAGGAATATAAACGTGGGTGCCTGCCGCTTCCCTTTCCTGCCCGCATTTTCGCGCGCCCTTGTATAACTCCCGGTCCAATTAAATACCCCCCTTTGAGAAGGCGACATCGTTCAAATGTGAG